AAACTGCTGGTTTAAAAAAGTTTTACGAAGAAAAAACTTACATATTTCATACCGTCAATACGTTTCACAATTAAAAGATGAGTTCAATTTATGCAGAAAGCCAACATTTATTTTATTTTACAACTAAAAATTAATTACAGTAATATAAGAAAAATTAAAAAAACATAAAGTATAACAAAATCGTAATAAAATAATAAAAAATTGTTTAAAGGTAATATTCTATTATATATTATTATATATATTATTGCATTTTATATAGCAATTAGATATATATTTGATATATGCTTAATATAATTATATTATTTTCATAAAAAATATATAAAAAAATAAATTAACCTTTTCTAAACAAAAATATTTACTAGTTTACTAAAATACATAAATATCTAAAAGTAATAAACTAACATTAGCATAACAAAACGCTAAAATCACTTAACTCGATGCAATGGAATAAATTCTGGATAAACGGTAAAATTGTAAGTTAATGGATGCAATGTCACATACATTCATTTATTGTATTTACTTTCTACAGTTTGTTTTTAAAATCACCAAATAGATAAATCACTAAAATTATCAAATGGAAATGGAGAACCATTTCTGTTTGATGCAAAAGGTTCATTGTGACGCAGAAGCAAAAGTTATATGTAAACAATAAATATTTATACATAAGTAATGAAATAATAAAATGATTTGTAATTAGTTTTCCCCCCAGGGCCGTCCCGAAGAGATTTTAAAGAGGATGGGGGTGGGTGACGCGTCTGTTTTTCGCCGACTAAAGCCAAAAAAAAATTTTTGTCCACTACCTTATCTAACAAAAAAAAAAAGTCCTCGTTTTCCGACATTTGCCGATTGCCAACTATAAATCCAATTTAGCCAATTCCTGCGTCCAATTTGCCGACAAATAAAATTCGTAGTGGGGCTAGACACTCCCCTACACCCGCCTCGGGACAATCAGAAAAACTTTTACTTTTACTTTAGGTTGTAAGAGTTTTTTTGGGTTGACAAGCAAAGTTAGCATTGCTTGGGCAAACAATAAGTAAATATTTAAGTGAGTTACAGCTTACATTAACATTAAAAATCCACGATGTTCGGGTGGAGTCCTGATGAAATATGACGCACACATCGCTTGAATGCAAGACCGAATCTACTTACAGAGTTTGTAGAAATAATTTTTAACAGTTCAATCGAACTTATTGTTTCAAACTGCAGGGCAAAGTTATGATTAAGATTTTTATTAACGAGCTTTCTTTTATTGGAAATACTAGCAATATTCGTATATATAGACTGTTAAGGCTGTAGTCCACCGTTACGGATATATCCGTTGAGATGATGACTTGGGAACAATCCGCGAAGAGTATTTCATTTTCTAATTGATCACCCTATTTAGAAGGGTGGAAAGACGCACCATCCGTCAACAACTCAAAATCAAGAGGAGTGCAATATTTACTCGGATTTTGCCCGAAAGCGAGTGAAACTGCGTCATTTGCTCCAGCGGTAACCCCACTTGAGCTTCCTGATCGTAGCAGAGTAAGATTACCTGGATCAGCCTGATCATCACATCCAGGCATTAACCTATCAAAGCTAGCACGCTGAGATGCTGGAAGGTATAAGTTTCTGGTAGCCCAATATGTGCCATAATCTTGAAGACTGTTTATCTCCTGTCCTTGCATGCAAACAGTCATCCGGTCTACAATAGCGCGACCGAGATTGATGACGAAGCGGGCGGTAAGATCAGTACCTCTTGTAAGAGTTATGTCATAAGTTAAAAGTACAGAACCACGAACAATGACTCGGCTTTTATCAAGGGTTGGGAACCTGATTAGCAGTGTCTGACCTGAAGGTTTAGGCAATGTTGGTGTTGTGATTAGATTAATAGTAACAATTTGACGTTCTCTCCTCGAAAAGCGTTTTGAGTTTTTATTTAACGTGCAGGGTCAAGGAGAGTTACATAGCTTGAAGCTAGTGAAGAACCCGTTTTATTTTCACTTTGTGAAAGCAGCACTACAAATTATTTGTAACGTCTTATTAGAGCGTAAAGTTTATCTCTAATACGCATGCATAAATCTGAGTACACTTTTAAAGATGGCGCAATAAATACCATTAGAAAGTTCTAATTTGTGAGATAAGGAAGCGGAAACGGATTTAACAGATGAAGATGTTGTTAATAATTCAGATATCCCTTTAGGACCTGTCGGAGGTGAGCTAGGAGGATTGATAGATGATTTGAGAGAAGAGCTCGCTAAAATTACGACTAAAGATGAGGTTGATAAAGTTTCAGCAGAAAAGTTAACTAATAGGTCTTATTACCAATGAGGAGACATTAAAAAAAGAGTTGAAATAAAAAACTATGCAAAATGAAAAGTCGTTAATAGAAAAAATGTAAAAAATAACTTTAAGATTTTTATTAACGAACTTTCTTTTATTGAAAATACTAGAAATGTTTATTTATTTATCACTAAAAATTGAGGACCTGAGTATGTTGCTCCTAAAGCATTAGGCTCTTATTTAAAGGATATGGGGTTTGAATTTACAAAAATGCCTAAATTTTCATCTCAAAATCCTTAATAGGGATTATCGAGCATTGGATTTACTGATGATTTCGAATAGGATCACACTGCAGATTTATTAACTAGTGTTGACAGCTCATTTGACACTCTTACTGATGCCGATACTACTACTCCTTTTTTAATAAAAAAAGATTCTGTAGAGGTTTGGGAACTCCTTGATCAATCAGTTTCTGACTACAAACGATATTCTGTGGATATTCTGAGTAGCTGCCAATGTTGCCGGGTTTTAGGCTGAAAATTTGTGGGCTCTCTTGGTTGCGGTTGGTGGGATAATTGTGGCAGCAGCTCAGAAGAATATGCAAAAATCAAATTGTCGCGTTAGAAAGAAAACACATGCAAAACAAAACTACTTCATAACAAGAATTTATTTGAACAAGAAGATAAAATCCAAAGTTATATAATAACTTTGGATTTTTTTTTAATTTTTAGTTAAAAAATTAAGAAAAAATACAAAGTTATTATATAAATATGTGTCTTCGCAAAAACCAGTTAAACTAACTATTAAAGCAATCAGAAACTCAGTGTTATTAGCAAATAATCAAACTAAAACTGTGAAAATTATGTACAACCAAATTAGTTCCGTGTTTGTTAATTCAAAAATGATTTTTAACCTACATTATATACTATTCCTTGTTTGCATTTAGCAATTGATTCGTACAATTTTCACACAAGGACATGTTAAATTCAATATTAAGTTCACACTATAAAAAAGAACGTGAATATTGAATTGAAAATTACCACAAAATAAATTGAAAGATATATATTGTCAGATTTTCTTATTCAGTAATTTTCTAGTTTTATCAATTTTTGAAAAACAAATTTTTGAAAGTTTTAACAATTTTGAAAAATAAAAATTTTGAAAAACATTTTTAAACAATAAGATAATAATGACAATTTTTTTGTCTGACAAAATGAGGATAATTTAGGAGATTTATAAGGAGATTTGCCGGGAAATATGAAAAAAAAAAAAGTATATAAATTTTAGGAGATTTTAACTTTTAAAATTTAGCTTTTATATTTAACTGACATTTTCTATTCTGAAAATACAAAATTATTTTAAGTCAACTTAATCAAAACAAAATTTTAATAAAAATAATTTTTATGCTCAAAACTTAGAAATAAGAAAAAAAATTTTATCAAAATATTTTTTTAAGTTATTAAAATAATACAAAAATATTGAAAAACATTTGAGTAACTTATTTTCTCTCAGTATACAACAGTACTAAGGGGTTGTCCATAAAGTACGTACGCTTTTTTTTCGCTAACCCCCCCCCCCCCGCAATTTCCCGTACGCTTTTTTGAGTACTCTCAACCTCCCTAAAAGTATCTACGCTTTTTACTTACTAACCCAACATGCTTTTATAATTGACCGACTGTCCCCTTATCTCAGAAACGCCGACATCCTCTTCCTCTCCGAGCGTACGTAATTTATGGACGATCCCTAACTCCAAGTCTGAACCATTTAATTAATTTTATTGTTGCTTGGCTTATAATAGTTTATGCATTATACTCAAGAGAAATAATTTAGGAAGAATTTAGGAGCATTTGAGAAAATCATCTATACATTAGGAGAAACTAGGTCTTTTTAGGATTTTTTTCAAATACTAAGATATTTTAGGATTTTTTAGGTGGAGTGGCCACCCTTGCTTTTATAAATACAATAGTTAGATATAAAAAGTTAGAGTTGCAAACAGTAAAATCCTGATAAACAATTATATTATATATTTATATAATTATAAATACAAATTATATTGAATAAAAACGTGAGATAAAAACAAAAATAATATTATTAACAACAATAATTAAAATAATAATAATACAAAACAATTTTTAATAATATATAAAAAAATAACAATAATAACAATTATTGTTATAATAATATATAATCATAAATAATTATTAATTAAAATAGTTATGTAATAACAATAAAAATATAAGTAAATAAAATATATAAGAAATTCTTTAAAAAATGCAGCATTAAAAATAACAATTAAAAAATAAGGACAAAATTTAGTATACTTTAATATATACATACAAAACACCCACAAATATATACACAAATGCATATAGACACACACACACATACATACACACATATTTATATGTACAAAAAAAATTAATGCCCCACTTACAACAAAAAACAAACAAAACAAAAACACTTTTATTAAACAAACTTGTAAATAAAATAAAAATAAGTGATAAGCCAGATGGTATACAAAAATACAACATTACATAAAGAAATTTTTTTTCTTCAAACACATTCTTTTTCTTTTTAAATTGGTTTTAATATTGTTCCTTACTTCTCTTCCTCCTTTGATGTTGTTGTTGTCTTTTTTTTTGGTTTTCAAATGTTTCAAAATATTTTTGCTTATTTCTTATTATTCATTTTTCTTTTCTTTACATTCTATACAACTTTATTTTTCCATCCTCTTTTTCTTTTTCAGAAAATTTCCTCCAAAAATTGTGAATCACAGCAAATAGTTTATTGACAAGGCATTGCTTTGTACCTAAATAAAATACCATCACTTGTGTTTACTTAATTAAATAAACTATCATTTTATAAAGTACATTGCATTAATTCAAGTTATTATAAAGAAAGAGTGTAAAAATTAAAATATATAAAACAAACAATTCTATTTTTCAAAGCAAATATTCTTAACAATTTTTAGACATAAAAAAGTAAAATAAACTTTAATTATAAAAATCAGTAAAAAACTATGCATGTAAAATGGCAAAATAAAATGTTATTACATTCTGTGGCCAATTGTTTCTAACTGATAGTTTATTATGAATGTTATTTCAAAAAGGTATGGTAGGTAGGCAAGTAGATAACACATTTTTTGTGGCGATAAAGTATAATTAACACATATGCGCTGGACAAGTGAAACTGGTTTCTTGGTTTCACATTGTGGTACAATGACTAATAAAAAAAAAGAGTTATTACAAAAAATATTTGCACATTTCTGTATAACACAATCTTTATTATTAAATTCACAAACATTGTAAGGAAACAGTTCTTTGTATCATTTGTATTGACACAAAGAAATTAAAACAGCTTTATGTTTTGATTAATGGCACACTTATACAAAATAACACACTTATACTAAATGTGTTCTAGAAACACGAGTTAAAACATGTAAACACAAATAAACTGAGTCATATAGTAAGACCTACAAAAATTTCAACCCACTAAATTGTTCTACAAATAAAACATCTAACAAAAATTACTGATAAGGTACTGAGGCCTAAACTTTTTTATTTTCAACTAGTTTATGAGGTTTTAGTTTTCGACCAATTTATTTTGCAACCTCTTTCAAAGATTTTTGTTTTTATTCACTTTGAGATAAATTAATTTTCAATTGACTATCTAATTCCTGTTTTTAACGTTGTTTTTTTAAAGTAAAAAAACTTTTTTTTTAAGTTAGCAATTAATAAGTTTTCCAACCTTCTGATTCTGAAGACAGTGTTTCAACCACTGCACCAAGGCTGATCAAATTTGGCTTGAATTCAAATAAACAACAAAGTATACAAGATACATACTAGATAGAAATAGTTATAAAATTGAAAATAAGCTAGGTTAAATAATACTTAGGTTGAAAATTCAGTAGGTCAAAAATACAGTAGGTCAATGATTTAGTAGGTTGGAAAACTAGAAGTAAATGTTTCAGTTATGTGTGAATATAAAAATTAAAAATTGTCAGTTGAAAATCAAAAATATCAAAATCACGATTTACAAATATATATATATATATATATATATATATATATATATATATATATATATATATATATATATATATATATATATATATATATATATATATATATATATATATATATATTACGTTTTGATATTGATATTATAGGTTTAGATTGTTTGATTGCTCACTCATAGGTTTAGATTGCTTTGATTGCTCATATTTTAGAAATTAATTTTGATCATATTGTTTTTTGTAATATGTTATGTAGTTTATGTTGCTGAATACGATACATTAAAACTCACTTTGAAACATTACAGACAATCATACTCTGAAATAAAAATTCAGATAAAAGTTTTCTAGATGAAGCTATACAGTATGAGGAACATGACAAGCATTAATGACAGGAGTGCAGCAATTTAGGGAAAAAATCTAACCTTAGTTCTCCTAGCAGGGTGTAAACATAAAAAGATTGAGGTGATGTGTTGCACTGTTCCAACTTTGCAGCTAGGTAATTGCAATGCTTTTAAAGAAACAAACACTACCGAATTTTTTAAAGTAGTGTATGTTATTTAAAATATATTTCTAGCCACAGTTTATGTTGATGGTAGTTGTAGAATATTCTTGCGGCGAACGTGACGTCACTTTAACTAACTAAACGGCTACCATTATGGTATGGGGGCAAACAAAGCGCTTACGAGCGGCTATTTCCTGAGATCAGATCCCTGTTTTGATTGGACGAAAAATTTAACTTGCATTAGGTCCGACAAAATGTTTATCGTTAGGAGTTGTATATGAAATATTAGTCAAGCGCATATGATATATTGGAGATATATATTTTAAATTGAGGACTGTTTGAAACTAGTTTTTTGTCCAATCAAAACAGGGATCTTATCTCAGATCTCATATAACCGATGATATATTAGGAATAACTATTAGATAAATAATAAAATTAGTAAAAGGATAAAAAATTTTTCTTAATATATCATTGCATATAACTAATTAATTATACGAGCTTGTTGCGCATTCTTAATCTTATATAATGTATGATTGGACTAAATAACTTGTTTTAATTTATTTTTAAAATTAATACAAATATAATACTAAAGTTTTTATTATTAATTTAATAAAATTAATGGACCAATGATACAACATCAGTTTTTGTTACGTCTGCTAACATTTGTTTGCGAAAACATTTAACTAACATTTGCGGCGAAAAAACCACGTGATCATTGCGTAATTAAAAACAAAAATATCTACCATTATGATATGGGGCGCTGATTTCAGTACATCATTACGCCTTAAAAATGTCTTATGATTATCAAGAAAAGTTATCTAAAAAAGCTGCTGAACGTTACCAGAACAATATTTAGCGTTATATTGAAATAAATCTGTGCAAATGCTTAAAGGAATCATGGAATTCAATTAGTTCATCATTTTGAAATTATTGCACAGTTTACAGATGTAGTCAATAAATAAAACAAAAATATTACATATTGATATTCTAATAACATTTAAAAATTCTATATTTTGCTTAAAATTTTCCTCAGTGTATTATTTATTCCTCATGTTTTTAATATATGTGAAATAAATGTTATAAATAAAAAATATTTTTTACAGTATAATAATGAAATGATCAAAATTACTAATTACAACAATTTGAATTATAACATCGTAACAATATTTAAAAAGCTTTTTTGTAAATGGTATGAGGATTAACAATATTATGTCTTGGCTTTTAAAAAATAACATAAATGACTTTTTATCTTCATTCACGAAGGTACTCTCTAAAACCAGTGACAACAGCAGAAACTCTACTAAAGAAAATAGAACGAATTTATGCTGAAAGCATTTACAAATTAATGTTTTATGTATCATGTTAAAATAAAAATTTAATTAAAAATATAACTAAATAAATAATAAAGAAGAAACTTACTTTGTAAGATTGTTTTTGTGACCTAGGAACAATCCTAAAGATTAAAAATGACAACATTAAAAGTATGTTTTTCTTTAAAACATGTTTCTTGCCTATTAGTAAATGATTAGAAGTAACAAGTTCAAGTAAAAAAACTATCTAATAATCATTTGTAGCAAGAGACACCAACGAGAAGGTAAGCAAAGTTGTCTATTAACACAAAGCATCAATAACATCACTATAATAACACAATAAAACAAAATAAAATTATACACATAATGACTTACAAGTGAATCAACACCGCACTAGAGGTTGAAACAGAACACAAACACACATATAATGTCTAAAGGGTGAGCCAACACGACACCAGAGGTCGACACAGAACATAAACACATATATATTGACTTATGAGTGAGCCAACATACACATAATCACTTACCTAGCCAATGCTGCATTATTTTTAAACTACCATCATTCTCAGCTAAGTTAACTTGTTGTTTCATGTTGGTGACACTAACATCTTCCACTCCAGTCAACGAATTGTCAGTACTTATTTGTTCACTGACTTTAATAACTTGAGATTTATTGCAATGACTTTTTTGTACATAGTATTCTAAAAAAATATAAGCATGTTTGAGGTATATAGTAAATACAAAATTTGTGCTTAACAAGCTATTGAACATTAATTTATTTAAAAATAAAAACAATAAACACATGATTTATAAATGCTTAGTTTTAATGCATTAATATTTATATATACAATTTATTTTTGTTATGCATCAATGCAAAACAAAAATAAATTGTAACTATTACATAAAGAGTTTTTACAAAAACATTTTAAACAACAAGATAAACTATATTATATAGTTTATCTTGTTGTTCATACAGTACATACCAATACTATATAGTATATACTAATTAAATTGTTTAATCTATTTATTCTCCTTTCATTTCACATAACAATTGGTTATGTTGGAGGGATGATTTCACTATATATATTTTTTAGCACCTAACATATTTACTGATGGAGCATAGTCAACATGCTTTTCAAAATTTTGAAAAGCATCTAGACTATGTTCTTTTTTTTTCTAAAAGAGAAACATACTTACAATGAATAAAAATATATAGACGAAAAAAACTTGATAAGTTCAAGAAAAATTTGTGCTCAAACATTTTGACGATTCAAATACAAAACTTACCAGATACAAAATGTTTTGAGCATACTTAGACATGTTTTGCGACCAAAGTTTGTTTTTGCAAGATGAATCAGTTTTATATAAAGCATAAAGCCACGATTTTCTTCTCTTTGGATCAGGAAGCAAAATATAACAAATCAAGTTCGGATGACTATTAACATTATTTGAACAATCAAAAACACATTTCTTCATTTTCAAGCGCTTTGTTTGCCCCCATACCATAATGGTAGCCGTTTAGTTAGTTAAAGTGACGTCACGTTCGCCGCAAGAATATTTCCAAAAATAAATAGGTCCTAGAAAAAGCAAACTTTTTTTTGCAAACTTTTTACCTTAAATTTCAAAACAAAAATCTTGAACCTCATGATTGTTCTATTATTGGTCTACTACCACATTAATTTATTTTATGGTCATTTAAAAAAGATACCATAGTGGTGATGTATTATTATGATCTTTACCATTTTAATGTCTTAAAAGCGCAAGAGAAAAACGGTATAACACAGACTAGTAGGTTGAAATGAATTTCCCCTATATTCGGTCGAAAATCAAATTATGGCAAATCGGTTGAAATTAAAAGTAGGTGGTTGAGAAAAAAAATCGTTCGAAATAAAAAACGTCATAAATCGGTCGAATTAAAAAAGGCCTATAATCGGTTGAAAACATTTTAGGCCTCAGTAGAACATATAAAAATTATTTCCACTTTTTAGTAGATGTTTTATTTTGTAGATCAAGTTTGTAGGTGCAGGATTTTGTAGGTTGAACTATGTGACACGGGAAAATCTTGTTTTTGTAAAATCTGTCAAAAATAACTTTATTTTTTTTTTATTTTTTACGTCGAAAATAACCAACTTTTTGTATTTATTGACATTTTTATTAAGCTATTTTTAAGCTATTTTTATTTTATTTTATTTATTTTTTATTCACGATATGTATGTTTGTTTGTATTGTCTTATACAGTCTAGTGTGTTGATTTTAATTAGTTTTTATTGATTATAAAACGATTGTAAACAATCAACTAAAATAAAGTTTTAAATGAAGAGCGGCATCGCAGCATAACGCGCGCACCGCAACATAGTTCGTGCACCATAGCATGAATTAATTTTTAAAAAAATTTTTTTACTAACTTAGTAAACGCACCACTTTTTGAGCTGCCAGCGATATACTCTGCCACTAGAATCCACCCGTTAATTAGAGAAGAGGTGACCCCATAGTATACGTACCACTGTGTGAGCTGTCAGTGATATACTTTACCACTAGAGACAGCCAACCAATTAGAGATAAGGTGATCCCATAGCATACGCACCATTGCGCAACACCTGATTTTTTGTAAGTTTTTTTTAATATATACTTATCACTAGAAAACCTCAGTCCCAATTAAAGACAGGTGAGTCTTTGGTATACATACATCATGGACCCTATCACACAATCACATACGCCACAAGCATATGCTACTCTTGAAAATTTACTCCGCAATGGAGTAATAACGTTATCTCAATGGCGTGAGAAAGTTAAAGTTCTGAGGGGTGATTCTACTCCACCCAACAAACCGCGGTCTTCGCCGTGACTTGTTCCGAAGCCAGCACCGCAATCTACTCCGCAAGCTGCTCCAAAGCCAGCACCGCGACCTGCTTCGAAACCAGCACCGCGACCTGCACCACAACCTGTACCGCAACCTGCACCAAAGCCAGCATCCCGAACTGTTCTAACTGATGAAGATTGGGATCAATTGTTTAAGGATCTCGGTTTCAATGATGAGCAGTTAGAAGAGCTACCTCTTACTAAGCCCTACAAGCAGGCCAATCTGTTTAAAGATTATAATGCAGAACTTCCTTTAGGTCAAAGAGTCCGATGGAGTGATGTTCCATTCTGATATGGAACCCCGCATCGTTAAACTCGTCGAATCTGAAATTAAGAAACATGGTCAAAAAGTATCACTTATCCTCGTTGCTAAAATGGAAAAAGGTATTTTCGATGTTAAAAAGGTTGATGGTAAAGACATCTTACAAAATACTGTAAAGCAAACGGTGTACCTTAATTCTAATGTAATGCTTATCATAAATAAAAATGATATCGAAGAGATGCTCTTTTCCACCAACCCATTAATGAGATTAATGGGTTTGTGGAAAAATTTACTAATGAAGGATCAGGTTGGCGACTAACTCATTGCTAGTCGCAATTTATCCTCTTTGCTCAATACCACCCATTTCGTGGTAAGAGTTTTTTTAAAACGCCCACCTTAATCCCAAAGCGAAGTGTTATTAATGTGAAAAATAATGATAATAGATGCTTTGAGTGGGCTATCCTTAGCGCTCTCTACCCCGCAAACCAGAATACTGAGCGATGTCTAAGTACAATGAGCATCTTAATAAGCTAAAATTTACCAATGTGTGCTTCCCGGTAAAAACTACAGATATTTCAAAGTTTGAGTGTCAAAATCCAGAGCTTTCAGTCAACGTATTTGGATGGGGAAAAGTATTATACCCCATCTACATTAGCAAGCGAGAAGGTTTTGCAGTTGACCTTCTTCTCATAGTAGATAAAAATGATCCAAAAAAACACAC